GTACTGGTACAACAGATACACAGACCAATGGAACAGAATTGAGAATCCAGACATAAATTCATCCACCTATGAGCAGCTGATATTTGACAAAGGCCCAACATCTGTTAACTGGGGAAAAGACAGCTCTCCCTAACAAATGGTGCTGGCGTAACTGGATATCCATCTGCAAAAAACTGAAATAAGACCCATACCTCACATCATGCACAAAAACTAACTCAAAATTTATCAAAGACTTAAATATAAAATAGAAAACAATAAAGATCACGGAATAAAAAATAGGGACTATGCTAGGAGCCCTAATACATGGCATAAACACAATATGAACCACAAGTAGCAATGCACAAGCACCAGAACAGAGACCAGATAAATGGGAGCTCGTAAAAACCAAACACTTATGCTCATCAAAAGACTTCACCAAAAGAGTCAAAAGATAACCTACAGACTGGGAAAAAAATTTTGGCTATGACAAATCTGATCAGCGTCTAATCTCTAAAATCGACACGATACTGCAAAACCTCAACAACAAAAAGGCAAATAACCCAATTAAAAAATGGGCAAAGGATATGAACTGGCACTTCACCAAAGAAGATATTCAGGAAGCTAACAGACACATGAAGAAATGCTCACAATCATTAGCCGTTAGAGAAATGTAGATCAAAACTACAATGAGATATCATCTCACCCCAACAAGGCTAGCATTAATCCAAAAAACAACATAATAAATGCTGGAGAGGTTGTAGAGAGACTGGAACACTTATACACTGTTGGTGGGAATGTAAAATGGTACAAACACTTTGGAAATCGATTTGGCGCTTCCTTAAAAAGCTAGAGATAGATGTACCATACAATCCAGCTATGCCTCTCCTTGCAATATATACTAGAGAAATAAGAGCCATCACACAAATAGATATATGTACACTCATGTTCATTGCAGCACTGTTCACAATAGCAAAAAGATGGAAACAACCTAGGTGCCCATCAACTGATAAATGGATAAACAAATTACGGTATATCCACACAATGGAATACTACGCAATGATAAAGAACGACGACGAAGCTGTGAAACATCTTATAACATGGAGGAATCTGGAGGGCATTATGCTGCGTGAATTCAGTCAGTCACAGAAGGACAAATATTGTATAAGACCACTATTATAAGAACTCAAGAAAAGGTTTAAACACAGAAGAAAACATTCTTTGATGGTTACAAGG